ATTTACAACTTTTCTAATCTATTTCTTAGGCAACCCCAGATGCTCAGCCCTGCTATTAGGTATCTTTCAGACCTGACATAAACCACCTATTATGCTGAAACAATGAGCAACCTTATTGCTTTTGTTATTGTCTATCTTTAACCAGATTCTTTAAAATTACACGTATTAAAGCTGCTTTACATTCTTTCAACCTTTTGTACTGAATTTTCTTTTCTGTTTTGTGCTCTTTCAGTGTTTCTTTTTGTTGGCATATTGCATTCTTTAGAGTAGACCAGATGAAATCATACTTCAAATTCTACCCCTTACAGAGAACTGTGTGCATTTTTTGTTCATTGCAATAGCTGATCTCTGATTTTTATGGAAGCATGCTAAACGAAATGAGGTCGTGGCTGCAAAAAATAAATGGATAAAGCAGTTTTTTGGACATTCTTCTTAATAGCCTAAATTATACACAAAAGAGTAGTAAATTTGGGTTTATAACAAATATATGAAGTACAGCTTCTACTTCATTTGCTTGTTATTACTGACAACAGCTAGATTTTTTGTAATATTTAGTTGTAACCTAAATAATGTGTCATTCTAGTAGCCCAAGACCTGAAATGATCAACAAGATGAACCTGAATTATTTAATAATACAATAATATAATGACAGAGAGGTGGTGATATGATTTCAAGTAATCTTGAAAGTGGAAATTCCTGCTATTTGTGTCTTACCTGGCTTTGTGGTGTAGTTTCTTAGTTTACTCATAAATAATTATAGATGGTAACAGAAAACATTTTTCCTAATATTTTGTGCTAAAAAAAATTGCATATATATGAATCTTTCATTCCTCCTGAAGAGTAATAGGTGATTGTAAGCTAAAAGATTGTGTAGTTTACAGTATTTCCTCCACTCGATAATGCTGTTTGAGTGCATCAGGCTTCTTATCAACTAAACCTGTAGATGGTCTGACTTTATAGCTGCAGTACTTTACTGCAATAACAAATATTAATAACTCGTCAAAAGAACCAAAACAAACATGAAAATGTTTTAAAAATGGATCACACCAAATTGTTAACATTTTAGTAGAGAAGGTCTGCATAGCTGCGTCTCTGAGGCCCAGGTATGCTGTATGTCATTATTTGATCTTTTCAATTTTGCCACATTCTTCATTTAAATGGTTCATTTCCTGAACTGACTGCCAATTGAAATATATGTTTTTGAAACCAGAGCTACCAACACACTTTTTTATTAAGACTAATATAAATTTTAAATGATATAATGGAGAGTGAACAGCAACACCCAAGTATTACAAATAAAGTATTTGTCCATACCTATTTGTTTGTCCAAACTCACATCTTCTCATGTACCCTAACCAACTATTTCTTCTTTTTAGCCAATAAAATCATTAGTATCTCCTCATTCATGACCCATAATCACAGTCACAAACAACTCAGGTTGACCAGTACAGTGGTTTACCTCCCTTTGGGCCATAGACATAGACAGCCCATGTGAAAATATCCTTGCTTTAGCACAAACTTTGTTCCAACATGTGATGGTAGAGTATTTTTTTTTATCATTTGCAATCATTTAGAATCAACTTGCTGATAGTCCAGCCATGGTATGAAGTCTGAATACAAATGTCTGAATGCTGAATATTCAGTGTTTATTCATTAAGGCATAAAAAACCTTAATGGAAGTTTGGCTTGGCTCCCATGTACACTTAACTTGTTGCACATACTCAGAACTGCACATAAAATGTAGTCTGAAAGTCTGAGTGCACAACAAGAGCACATTTATTCCATCATTCATTTTCAAATGCTGTGTCTTGGGATGTTTTGCTTTACGCGAAACAGGAAAAGGGTATAAATATGCATTTGTTTTTTTTCATGTGTGAGATATCCATTTGGTGCTGCCTTGGTGATAAGTCGTCAAACTTGAGTCAGGTTGAGATGAAGGAGAATGAGAAGCAGAAGATTTAAGCATTCTGTGGATTATTGAACTGATTCTGAAATTTCAGGTCAATCAAGGAGACTGAAAATGCAGCCTACTTTTGCTTTGGGATCACATTACATGAATGGAATAAAAAGACAAGCTATAAAGCAGAATTTGTTTTGGTTTTTTAACAGCAACGTGTTCAGTGATGATGACAATTTAACAATTATTTTTGCTAAGAGTAATTGTTATTATGTAATTGTTCACTTATCAAGAGAAAAAAAAACACTTTGTTTTCAATGAACATTAAAAATGCATCTTAATTTGAAGAAGTTCATGCACTAGAAGTTCATCAACTTATTTTCATTAATTCATTAATTCTGCTGTTCATTGGTAAGTATTTTCCTCTTGCTCTCGCTACTGGACTTGAGGTCAGCATACATTCACTCTGGGTTCCTTTATACCTCTATGTTTGCATGCTGACCATTTTTTTCGTCACTAAAAACTGTAATCAGCTCTCTGCTCATCATACAAAAATTGAACCACCATTCTCTGCACCTGATTATAAAACATGCAAAAAAAGATTGCCTCTTTTTTTTAGAATCTCTGAAAAACAAATTTGTATATCAATCAACTTTTTAATTCTCAGCTTGGTCCCTGACTCCCTGGTTACCATCCCTCTTTTGGCTACTGTCCACCCAATTATACTTGTTCCCCATTTTTAGTTTTATTTTAGTATTGTCTTCTATTCCACCTTCAAATTGTACGACCCTGTCAAGGTTCAGTTTCAAAATGGGCCTGTAGTGTGTGGCAGGGTTAGACTGTTAGTCTGGTATCTTCGGGTAGATCACTCTAGGATATATCACTATGGTAGCCTATGCTCCACATACAGTATAACCTGCTCCAACTTGCTCTGTGTTCAAGCTCCAGGCTGAAAACCATTACCATTTTCCACAAATGGGAATGCAGTGGTTTTCTTTACCCAGACATAAGACAATACGTTCTATGTCTCATCAGTCCTCAAAACATTATTCCAAAAGCCTATCATTTCATTTTTAGCGGAAAACAGATGTGCACATGTGCTCTTTTTTGGGACGCAGTGCTTTATTGTTGCTCAGTATTCTCACAATTATTGACACATGAACATTAGCAAATATGGGACAGGCTTGTAGTTCCTTGTGAACTCTTTCTGGAGTGACGTTTGATCGCTCATGAAGAGCAGATCAATAGTCTTGAATTTCCTTCATGTGTATACCCTGTCTAAGTGGAGTATTTATCAACTACGTGACCAGCCTTCTCCTTTTTTTCCATCATGGTATGAAGCGAAGATCAAATTTTTTTAGAGCCTTCTTTCTTAAATAAAAATTGTTTCCTACGAACAGTTGTCACTAGTGCCATTGAAAACACCTAATTCTAATTTAACCAAGCATACTGATAAATCTGGGATTCACTTATTATGGCCCTTTGCAAACGTGAAGTGTATAATTATTTTTCTTAGGTAAATGAACAAGTGTAATGGTTTCACATAATTTGATTAATTAGGTTCTCACATTTAACTTTTAGGACTTTAAAATATGATTTTTCAGGTCATATTTCTATTTAATCTTAAAAAACAAATGAAAAGGGAAAAGGCGAAAAATCATATGTCACAAAACATGGCTGGCTTGAAAGTATACATATCAGCTGATGTAGTAACTACAGCTTGTCACATATTACATCCAGCAGTTTATGAGAAAAAATCTACTTAAATACTGAAATTGCATATCTCAATACTTATGCAAATACTAAAGCAAGTGTTTACACTTACACTCAAACTTGAGCAGGACTGTATCTACTTACATGCTATGCTTGGCCACATAAGGGCCACATAAAATTGAATTAGAAAACCCACACAAAGAAATCTCTGGCTCTTTGAAGATAAATTCTAGTGTGAATGGTTATAGGGATTTATACACAAGCAGCTCAACTCTTAACCCCAGGTGATTTAACTTGCCTGTGCCCCTCAGTACAGGTGAAGTAATTGAGTAAATAGAAAGGCTATGAATATATTTCCATCTTATCTCCGCCCATAATTTTCTGTAGAAAGCTTACATCAGCAACTTGTGTTGGTCACAATGAAAACTGTATTGGCAGTGGGTCATGCTGTGTATGCACATCTCTGCCGGCCTTTCAAGATAAGAGTGATTATGAAGTGAAGGGTGGCATCGGATTTCTGCACCATCTTCTCTTCTCTTCTCTGCTCTAGTCTTTGATGAGACTGCGCGAATTTTCTGAAGGTTTCAAAAAGAAGCAGGGGGAAGCATTAAAGCCACTTGCCTATTCTTCTGTAGAATCACAATGTGCAACCAAAAGACTTTTGGTCTCTTGAAGTATAGCAAGAAAAATAAGTTACAAGGGTAACTTTTTTGCACATCCAATGGATGCATGACCAGGCTAACATCTGGAGAACTGAAAGGACAAGCCAGCACTTCAGCAGCATGCCTGTAAACATACTGAAAAAGAATTACATGACTCATCAGACCACCCTCACTGTCTTTCGTTGACCTATGGTCTAGTCCTGATGTCCATCACAAGCACATTTAAGTGTGAAAAACAAAATGGTTTGCAGTATGCAGTTTTGGCACTCTTTTCCTTGGGCACCAATGTCCCCACTGTTGCTTCATCAGTTGATCTTCCTTGGACAAGTTTTGGAAGGTACTAACCATGAAAATTAGTAGCAGCCCCCAACATGACTTGACCCATGTAAAGTCACCTTAAGTTACAATCCTTATCCATTTTTGCCCTCCAACACATCAACTTCAAGGAATTCTTACTTATGTGGCTGATATGTTTAATGACTGTCTGATGTAAATGATGAAATATGCTTGATATGGCCTCCTATTTACACAGTGTTGATCAGGGTGAACTATTTTGTTGTTGTGTTCAATCCTCCAAAGATGTCAGTATGTAACATTTTAATGCAGATATTTTTGCCGTTGTGTTTTTATGCCTGAGGGTGAAAACACATATTCTGTGTTTTTCTTCCTTTTTATTATACCTGTCTGTTTTTCCATTTTTGTTCTAGATGGGAAATGCCTCCGAAACATTTCTGTTCATGTCTAAAATATCAAAAGACAATGACTTCATCATGGGAACGCTCTACACCATTTTTGGTGAGTGATTTATCCCCCCAAGGTCAATCCTTTTAATGTGGACTCAAATTCTTCAGCTCTTTACATTATATTGCTCTGTGTCCTAGGTGTGCTGTCGGTGCTTGGAAATGGCATCCTGCTGTTCGTGGCCTATAGAAAGAAGTCCTCCTTGAAGCCAGCAGAGTTCTTTGTGGTAAACCTGTCCATCAGTGACCTGAGCATGACCGTAACCTTGTTTCCATTTGCAATACCTTCAACCTACACACACATGTGAGTGACAATTCAGGTTTTTTTTTTTTTCAAATTTCATCTAGTCCTCTTTTATGTCATCTTCACATTTTTATCTTCATGAGACAAGGATAGAAGGAAAAAGACAGATGAAGAGTGAGGTTAGAGGAGTGGTTTGAAAGGCAAGGCTGTAGCTGCTGACGAAAACCAGGGCTGAGGCCTGAGCAGTAGTTTACGACATGCATTAAAAGACAAATTAAGGTTTTGTAAGCAGATGCTTGCAGACATAAATTCATCATATTTTATTGTTTGTGGATACGACAGATAAAATACAAATAAATGCATTTTTAAATGACTTTGTGATTTTTCCATTTGTATAAAATGGAGGTGGAAATGTACTATCATGCTAGATTTGCAACACATTATTGGTATATCTGATATTGTCACTTCAGCAATCAAAATTTGAAAAAACCCTCCACATTTATGAAAACGTTGATATTCTAATTTTGAGATCATTTTTGCTTGTAGTTCTTGCTGTGTGCTCATAGCATAGACCTTGGGAAGAAGCAGTAAGTGATTTCTGACTTTTTGGCCAGAGTTTTGCCTCTGAGGCTTTACAAGGTTGTTGAGCCCAACTGCAGCCTGAAAAGATGACTACAGATGCTACTCAAGGTTGGAAAAAATGCTGAAAAAGACACAAGTAGCATAGCAAGGCCCTGTGTAGTGCAGATGAAAAGCCAGAATTTTCAGTTTAACTCTGTGTGAAGTTTCCAGGTGTATGATTTTAAGTAGTATTTGTGCAAAAAACAATAAACAATGCAAATGTCTTTTTAACTCCACTGTCATTGAGCTTTGGACAATAACATGTTTCCTATTTTTGTAATATTTTCTATGTGTTGCACTGATAAAAATGTTTTAGATAATGTGGAAAGCATTTTTGTCTCCTTTGTTCATGCATCCTACATAATACCTTTGTCTGTCTTCTGTCTCTTCCTATGATTGTCTGCCTGCTGTCTTATTCTCTGACCATTTGCTGCTGATAGCTGTCATATGCACCATTATTGGGTCAGAGTGCTTCACCGCATGCTACAGTTGAATATGATCCAGGAGACCAGAAAATGTATTGCAGTCTCATTGACTGAAATTCACCAAAGGGAATTTGCAGGCAAACCCTCACTTAATATCACACAGTAACACATGTTCTGTTTTCTTTCTCTCTCCATTCAGGTGGTTGTTTAATGAGACAGCCTGTACTGTGTATGCCTTTTGTGGTGTTTTGTTTGGCCTGTGCAGTCTGACCAACCTAACAGTGCTCTCCTGTGTCTGCTGGCTCAAGGTCTGCTGTCCTAACTACGGTAACAACACCAGTTTTTAATGCTTTACATTGCAATTCAGCATAAAGTTATTATCGTAATAGTGAAACAATGCACTATTTTAACACTAAGGAATTTAGTGACCCACGAGAATGACCCAAACTGAGGCAATGAAGAAAATCAAAGACATGGTTGTTTAGGGTTATTTTGAAACCAGTGAAATAAGATTCTGTGTGATCTCAGTGAGTTTGCTTGAAATGTAATTGCATTATTGGTTGTTTTTCATGGATGATCTACATAAACCTTTTAGCAAGTTTTCAGGTGTTTTCCATTTAACATTTTTTCATTCTGCGACTCATTTTGAATCACAACCAAACTTATGCTCACTCACTCACATGAACCACTTTGCTGTGTCAAACTGTTTCTCTATGGGAGTTCTCAGGATGCAGTTGGCATAAGATGCAAGTGTCCCTGCCTCTTTCCAGTATCACTTCACAATAATTATTTCATGATGCTTTATATTGTAACTAAAGACTCTACAGTATTATTCCAAGGCCCCCTAACAATCCCACTATCCTGGCAGCCACTTGGCAGCAGTGGGAATGAAGAACTCATTTTAACAGGAAGAGACCTCTGGCAGACCCAGACTCAGGGAGGGAGAGCAATCTGCTGTAGCCATTGGGGAGTATGAGAAGAAGAGAGAAAGAAAAGCATAGAGAGACAACATACACTACCAACACGTACACATTGCAGTGCATCAAGTAATATTCTTTTGTTAGACGCAGATAACATCACAAACAAACCCAGAAGGTGTTTTTGTTTTGTTCTTTTTTGTTGTCGTTGTTGCTTTTTAAGTGGCTGCCAAAACAGCAGCATTATTGGATGTTACTAGAAAAAGTCTGCATTGAGAGGAGTGGTGGTGGAGTATGCTAGTTTCTTGTTTATACTCCTTTTGGATATTTGAGTTTGGAGCTTTGGCCCTGTTTTAACCCTTTTATTTGTTTCATTTGTGGCTATTTTTTATTCTCACCTGACTCACTGGTGCCTCACATCAAGACAGTCCTGAGTTCAATTCCACCATCAGGCCTTTCTGTGTGGAGTTTGCATGTGCATCTCCCTGTGCTTGTGTGGGTTCTCTCTGGCTTCTCTCACAGTCCAAAGACATCCAATTATTGGGGTCAACTGGTAAATCTAAATTGCTCACAGGTGTGAATGTGAGTGGTTGTCTCTACCGTTAGGTCTGTGACAGACTGGAAACCTGTCCAGGCCCAGGGTGCCTCTTCTCCTAAGACAGCTGGGATAGGCTCCAGCCCTGAATTTGATTGAGTGGAAGAATGAATGGATGGACTTAACTCATTGGTTAGGTTGTGTTGTATAGAGTACTTCCTTGGGCGAAGATAGAGAAAATAGGCTTTGGCACTGGAAATTACCTCAATGCGTGTTTACCCTTTCCATTAAAATGATATGCAGGAGTCTATTACAAGCATGTGAGTGAGAGGTTTGTCTTACTGCTGCCTAGACTGTGCACATAAGGCGCTGACAAAAAAAATGACACGTGGCGCATATCTGTGAGATGCTACCAAATTGTCACAACATCAATGTTTCATGCCCTTGGAATGAGACCTAACTGATGCATCTCTCTTTTTTCCCTGTTTCATTCCTGCACATTTAACAGATATTTCTTCTTTCTTCATTGAATGACATGATTCAATACTTTGTTCCATTCTTGTTACAGTTTAGGATGAACAAGTCATATCTGATATCCACATTTGGCCTCTTAGCTAGCCTTACCTTATTTATTTGACTTGGTCAAGGAATCAAAGGGCTGGCTGTATGATGCTTCCAGTGTAGATATAGCTTAATTCCAGCGTAGCTCTAAGAAGACCAAAATAAATTACTGTTGCAGAAGGGTTTTTTTCTTATTCTGTATCATACATCCCCAAAGGTTCTGTGTGATATATGTACAGTGGGGCAAAAAAGTATTTAGTCAGCCACCGATTGTGCAAGTTCCCCCAGCTAAAATGATGACAGAGGTCAGTAATTTGCACCAGAGGTACACTTCAACTGTGAGAGACAGAATGTGAAAAAAAAATCCATGAATCCACATGGTAGGATTTGTAAAGAACAACACGGAGTTTCAACTCCCGCCACAGATTTTCTATGGGGTTGAGGTCTGGAGACTGGCTAGGCCACTCCAGGACTTTCAAATGCTTCTTACGGAGCCACTCCTTTGTTGCCCGGGCGGTGTGTTTTGGATCATTGTCATGTTGGAAGACCCAGCCTCGTTCCATCTTCAAAGTTCTCACTGATGGAAGGAGGTTTTGGCTCAAAATCTCACGATACATGGCCCCATTCATTCTGTCCTTAACACGGATCAATCGTCCTGTCCCCTTGGCAGAAAAACAGCCCTTCTTCTTCCTCCAAACACGACCAGTTGAGTTTATACCAAAAAGTTCTACTTTGGTTTCATCTGACCACATGACATTCTCCCAATCCTCTGCTGTATCATCCATGTGCTCTCTGGCAAACTTCAGACGGGCCTGGACATGCACTGGCTTCAGCAGCGGAACACGTCTGGCACTGCGGGATTTGATTCCCTGCCGTTGTAGTGTGTTACTGATGGTGACCTTTGTTACTTTGGTCCCAGCTCTCTGCAGGTCATTCACCAGGTCCCCCACGTGTGGTTCTGGGATCTTTGCTCACCGTTCTCATGATCATTTTGACCCCACGGGATGAGATCTTGCGTGGAGCCCCAGACCGAGGGAGATTATCAGTGGTCTTGTATGTCTTCCATTTTCTGATGATTGCTCCCACAGTTGATTTTTTCACACCAAGCTGCTTGCCTATTGTAGATTCACTCTTCCCAGTCTGGTGCAGGTCTACAATACTTTTCCTGGTGTCCTTCGAAAGCTCTTTGGTCTTGGCCATGGCGGAGTTTGGAGTCTGACTGTTTGAGGCTGGGGACAGGTGTCTTTTATACAGATGATGAGTTCAAACAGGTGCCATTCATACAGGTAACGAGTGGGGGACAGAAAAGCTTCTTACAGAAGACGTTACAGGTCTGTGAGAGCCAGAGATTTTCCTTGTTTGAGGTGACCAAATATTTATTTTCCACCCTAATTTACGAATAAATTCTTTACAAATCCTACTATGTGAATTCATGGATTTTTTTTCACATTCTGTCTCTCACAGTTGAAGTGTACCTCTGGTGCAAATTACTGACCTCTGTTAAGTGGGGGAACTTGCACAATCGGTGGCTGACTAAATACTTTTTTACCCCACTGTATAGGTTGAAAAATCTAAATAAACCACCAGACAACCAAAAGGCACGAGAGACCACAGAAGAGAACTAAAGTGCGTGATGACAGAATTATTTCCATGGTTAAGAAAAACTCTTCCATCTCCACGGTAGTTTGCGTGTCATTGTCAAGGTTTATAATCAAGATATGTCTATAGTCAATATATGTCTTCATGACTAGATAACAAGAGGGTTTCCTCAAGGTTTATATTAGTAGTTACACTGAAGATTATGAAGGCCAGAAATAGCTGTACTATTTTAATGGTTTGTTAAGCCCCTTGAATTAAAGCTGAAAGTCTGCGCTTTTGTCACAATTTATTTAATCATCCACTCTGGTGTGTACAAAGACAACGCGAAATGTGTCATTGTCCAAAAACAACTAATGACTGCAGCTTTAGCAGCAAGAAAGGCTTCTATAGATGAATTGAATGAATCCAAATAATTGTAATACATAAAAGTTTGTGTTTCCTGTCATTCATTGTGTGTTTTAAAATGTTAATTGTTCACATGTGCATTTTTACCACTTCAGATGTTATAGAAAAACTGGTAATTGTTCTTAAAAACTGTAATGAATGTAACATTTCAGTATTTCAGTTATCTAAATATTGTGAAAGCATCAAAGGCGTCTTTATTCTGGGTTAAAAATCAAGGTGTTGATTCCTTGATCTCAACCTTTCAAAACTGTTTGCCAGGCTTGTCTGAAAGCTCTTTTAGTTCAGCTACGATGGTCCTTACGTTTTCACTTTCAAACCTCTTCACCGTTTCTTTATTATTTATCTGTATTAGCTTAACTCAAGGTCTGCTTCGTATTCATACAAGTACTTAAGGTAATCATAGAGTTGGCTGCACAACAACAGCAACAACAACAACAACAACAA